ATATATATATATATATATATATATATATATATATAAATTAAAAATGTTTTAATGTATTCATATTATCTAGATTTATTTTTTCAACATGTTCAGAGGTCTCAGAACATATTCAGATATTTATTAGAAAAAAATGACAAATGATGTTACATTTACTGTATACTGTACATTTGGTTTCATTATGACCTGAATTTTAAACGTAGGCCTAATCATAAATGTCTGACGATGTGGACAATACAATTTAATGATCTTCTTTCTCTAACAGCATATTAGTGATTTTTTTATATTTATGTTATACAAATTGGTATTACATTTGAATATATTTATATTAAAATATAAACAAATATATTTTCTTATATGTGTCGTCTATATGAAGTGTTATTGTCTAAGGACAGGTTGTTTTCGGGGTGTGAGTGTGTTAATTCATTTTTTTAAAATAAAATAATGAGAAAAATGAAAAAAAAAAGAGTTTAAATTGTGTTCATAATTTTAATAATCTCTTGTGAATTTTAAAGTGGAACTGTTGCTATTTTAAAAACGTGAGACATGTTTTGTCTTATGAATCAGTGAACCGTGTTTTCATGAAAACAGTGGCACTAATGCCAAATCCACTTCATGACTGGGAAGCCCCCCATGCAAGTCAGATTCAGGACACTATTGGAGGTGCGTGTGTGACGCCATCTACACCTCCTGGTTTTGTGGTGAATGCATGGATAAGAGGCGAGCTGGACTGGGCTGTTTTTTAGACTATCTCGAACTCTGCTAGGATTAGTTTGGGTCTGGAGTCTGAGGGAAACGCGTCGTTATCGGGAGCGCGAGTCCTCGCATCACAGGAGCGGTGAGGCATAGCTTCAGCAGCGGGCGCGGAATGCTCAGCGACTGACCAGACGCTGTTTGTCTTTATTTTACATCTTCTTTGGCGACGACAGAGCAAAAGAAACTGAGGACATCTGCCTCGGTGGATATCTGATATGGCGGGTTCAAGCACGCTCGATGTGTTTGTGGGAATTGTTCTAGTTTTACACGCTTTGGGAAGTGTTTTCCAGATCAGCAGAGGAGAATTAACGGCGGAAGGTGAGTGCTCGTGGACTCCAGGATACGCTGCATTGATGACAGGAGTTTGTTTTGGCGATAGGGATGTGGAAAATCAGGTATTCACACCATGACCTGAGCCTATGTCTATTCGTCATGTATACCTTGTAAAATGAAAATACTGAATGCATTTTCATAAGAAGTTGATACAGTAGCCTACATTTTTCCATCTCATCTGAAAGCGTAGAAAAGCTGACAAGTCTGTGCATAGGCTATTCTTTTATTTCTCACTCATGGGAACTTTGAGGTTTTCTATTCGTATTAATAGCCTATTAATATTAATGCTTTAATTCATATTAATTGATTTTTAATAATGCAACGAATAAGCTAATATGGGTTGAGCGTGTGGTTTTGCTGTGCTGTTTGTATGCCAGAGGCGATGTTTATCAGCAGCTGTTTTCAAGCGGTATGTGAATGTATTATCGCTTCTTGCAGAAAGAATGTGAGTGGGAAAATCTTGTACCTTCAGCTTCTTTTATGTGGAGCAGGATTGTTTTCGTTAGCTTTACCTTAAAGCACATAACCTGTTCATCACTGGAGCAGCTATTGG